CTATAAAAATGTTTTCAACAATTACTCAAGCTCTAAATGAATGGGTATAGATATAAAGTGAAATATTAATGCTAATTATAAATAACAAAATGTTAATCAATTTAGTCACAAATGATAATACTTAACAATTTCCAGTCATATTCGAGATAAACATACCTTTATCTGTAGTTGTTATCTCCGATGCTGGAAAATAATGTTTTGAAATATGACTTAAAAACAGTTCTTAAGAGATGAAATCAAAATGAAATCAGAATGAAATACAATGATACCTTACAACAAGAAATAATGTAATATAAATGTATATTAGAAGGGTAATTATTACCTGTAGTACTTGTCTCTGGTTCTAGCAACGAAAAGAAACAAAGAATACAGTAAAACTGATACTGTTATTAAATTAGATGGAAATACAAAATTCTCGGAAAAATGAAATGATACTTGTAAAACACTTACGATCTGTGGTTGTTTTAACGCCTGTGACTCGTGCTGCAACTGAAGATGCAAGAAAAAAAAATTCAGAATAATAGCAATAAATCACAGTACAGAAGAAAGCAATTCTAAGTGATGTCGATGCTAACTTACCATCTGTAGTAGGTATCTCTGGAGCTAAAAGCGAAAAACCACGAAACATGCATGAATCAGGTAAAAAAATGAACAGTAGTAATAGTAATACTGATGCCAAACTTACCATCTGTGGTGGTCATGTCCGGTGCTGGAAATAAAAAAAAAAACGAAAGATGAATTAGATTGGAAAACAGGTTAAACCGATTCTTAATAATATGGATGTCAAACGTATCATCTGCAGTAGTTATCTCTGGTGCTGAAAATGGAAAATTACAAAGGATAAGATAGATTGAAAACTAAAGTGTAAGACTAAGTAAAATCGATGTCAAACTTACCGTCTGTGTTGGTTATCTCTGGTGCTAAAAAACGAAAAGTATAAGAAATAAGATAGATTGAAGACAAAAGAAAACAAAACAATTATAAGTAATATCGATGGCAAACCTACCATCTGTAGTGGTTATCTCTGGTGCTGAAAATAAAAAAGCAGGAAAGAAAAATTGGACTGCTTATAGAAGCTTAAAGCAATCGAAACTCTAAGGAATATCTATCCGAAACGATGCTAACTTACCATCTGTAGTAGGTATCTCTGGTGCTAAAAGCGAAAAAAAAAAAGGAAACATGAATTAGATAAAAAAAAAATGAACAGTGGTAATAGTAATAGTGATGCCAAACTTACCATCTGTAGCAGTCATGTCCGGTGCTGGAAATAATAATAATAAAAAAAAACGAAAGATGAATTTATACAGGCAAAAACTAACGATAGATACGGTACGATACCGATAACGGTTTGAGCTTGTTGTCCAACCATGCTGGCACACCTGTACGGGTTGCCGAAAACACACAAGGAGAAATTAGCCATGCGACCAATCCTATCAGCGACTAATACGTATAATTATGCTCTGGCGAAA